TCCTCATAAAATAACTTGTGATGATTCTGTAATGAGTGTTCTGAAGCCCTATAGATGTAATTAAACTTTCAGGCTCTTAGAAATCCGTGAACATGGTTGCAGGCTAAATTTTGGAAAATAAAGAAAAATCTCTGACATTCCTTCTCGAACTGAAGAGACTAATTGAGGCTATGACTCACCGCTGCTTTATGTCAGTATAAATATCATTGATTTCCTTGGAACTACATTAGCATAAAACAGATGTAATATGTTGTAGTGAATCAGGCTGGAGTTTATGGTACAATTATGCTATTTCTACTAAAACAAATGATTGCAACAGATACTCCTTTGTTCCATTAATTTACAGTTGACTGTGATACCTTTCTTGAAAAAGCTCTATTGTTTTGTTGGGCTTTGCCTGAGCAAATGAACTTCTGTAAAGCAATGACATGCTCAAGAAACGTGTTCTAGATTTCCTATGTATCAGTTTATGGGGCTGTAGAGTTAAAAAAAATTAAATAAAACCAACAGATTACCTTAATTCATTACAATAGAACAGAATTTTAATTTTTTCTTTAGGTTTTGTTGATTCTTCCATTTCATTACATATGTAAAGATTTGGTAGGAGGTAATTGTTTTTACATAGTTTCTTCGTTTTTCTTAATCCCCCTCTCCAAGGTCATTTTTCCCCCTAGAGTGGGGAGAGTTTAGTCCATGATTTGTTCAAAAGTTTAGTAGCAAATATCTTTTTGTTTTCTATTTTGGAAATCTTTAAGCAGTCTGCATGTAGGGGAAGAGGTTGCTTGTTTGTTCTGAAGTATGCTTCTTTCGAGGGGCAGTTTGAATGGTTGGGTTGGTACCTCTTAGAACATTTAAAATAAGTCAAAGATCAAAAAGAGGAAAAGAAAAGAAGTGAACGTGCATTTGTGCCAAGGTAGTTATCTGAATACGACCCTTTCTGTGTAAAAGACCACTAAGTCAGCAGGACCTTTGGGTAGGAACTACCACTGCTTTCCCTGATGCCACTGTACCGAGGTACAACCTGGGTGTCCTTGGCTGCGTTTCTTCAGAACACAAGTAATGAACCAGAGCAAGGTAACTCTTTAAAAAGACAGATCTCAAGTCTGATAGCTGTGACAGACTGAATAAGAATTTGAAAACAAGTTTTCCCCCGAACCCTGCATCCTCCCGGGAGCAGGTCTCTCCCCCGGTTCTGCTGCGAAGCCTCTCCACCTCACCTGGGTGAGCAGCCCCCCCGCAGCCACCGCCGAGCCTGTAAGGCAGCCTGACACTGAGCCTGCGGGTCCTGCCTGCTTTGGGACCCCATCTCATCTGCTCCCGACCCCTCCAGCCAGCGCCTGTGTGGTGAGCACGTGGCTTCCTGCCCTACCTCCATCTCAGCCTCTGGCTGTACCCAGCTCACCTCAGCCAGCACCGCCAGCAGCTTCCCCCTCTGTTGCAATGACACCCCCGCACCCCTTTGTTGATTTTTAAACAGAAAAAGCAATAGGCAGAACTCATCAAACTGGAAATAGCGAACAAGGCAAACAGTCAACTGATTTTCTGCTTTTATGCATCATCACCACTACCTCAAGAATATTTGGGTTTGGTGTTTGGGGTGGTTTCCTTTGGTTTTGGTTTTCTCTGTTTTTTTGTGTGTAGGGGGAGATTTTAGACAACATTGGCTGCTTGAGTTGATCTTGTAAGAAAGAGATGTGCATTACTGGAAAATGATAAACTGTCACTTTGCTGTTTACCAAGCTTTTTTTCCCAATAAAGGAGCACAAAAAGAGCTTAAGAAAAAGAAGATGCATGAGATACCTTTCTTCACTAGAAAGGCAGTCTGTGTCAAGTCCTGAATGCATCAACAAAAAAGGTTAAAGATGCCATATACAAAAGATGCATTGTTTGCTCTCTTTAGATTTCTCCCTGGATTTTGAAGGCCATTTTTAGTTATAAGCTTCTTTGCCATATAAAAGTTACAGATCTTTCTTGGAGACACGTCTGAATTGACAACATCCTATAATTAAGGATAGCCTCAACCTTAAGTGAACCGCCTTTGCAGGAAGTTTTCACATCCAGGCTGTATTTGAGGGTATTGTTTAGGAAACAGCTCTATAAGCCTCTGCCAGCAAAAGAAAAAATCCAGCAACATTCATTTCATTAAACTGACTTTTAACAGGTTTTTTTTAGCAACATGATGGACATAAAAAGTAGAGTTGAACCAAGAAAAGGATAATTCAGGAAAAATAATAGGTGCATGAGAATGGCTGTGCTCTGAAATGGAAACGACCACTTCCTGTCCCAATAATGGATTTGTGTGAGAACCTTGAAGCCTTTCTGCTTTCATTTTTCTTTCATTAAAATTAAACTTTCAGGTTTCTGCAAATAATATCACTTTTTGGAAACTAATAAAATAAGAGACTTCAACAGGAGGACAAGAACTAAATTGAAAGAAATAAGCATAGTCAACTACACAGTATTAGTACATTAAACTCTCAGAGACTCAAATGTAACGTACTACTTTCCTTTGTGAATTAGTTTCTTTCGTGTCTTTCAAATGCTGTCTTCTGTGTTACTACTGGATGAAAATGCACAGACTAATTATCAACAAAATGTGAATAGAAATCCAGTACTATCTTCTTATTATAAAAGTAGAAGAATTTATAAAATATTTTTAAGGACATTTTTGATACCTTATTGAGCTAATCAGGCAAACATTTACAGTCAAGATCGCTGAACAGAAAAGGTTTAGACAGAAGAAAAAGGCATGGTGATAGCTTTTATCATTAAGCAATCACATAAATACAAATATAAATGATTAATTGGATATTTTCTTGGAATTATTTGTTGAGGTTTTCTCTCTCTTTTTTAAGTAGATCAACTTGGCTTTATTCATTGTCTTCATAATTATATTCAGTTCACTTTTTTGTCATATTTTCCATTTTTGTTTTATTCAAATGGACAGAGGAGTACTTCTAATGGCTGCTCTAAGGATTTCCCCCTCACACGCAGACACGCAAACTTCACTAAAGTTGAGCGAGTCATCACAGGCAGACTCTCCTGCTATGAGCACATCAAAGGAACATTACTTACACGGTGAACTTAAAAAAAACCCACAAACATTCTTACCTCTTACCAACACATCTTTGGCTTGAGGGTCATCGGTAGTAGTGCTTTATGCTGCCTAGTTCAAAATTTGTTTAGCAGTGGTGTTTCTTCCACTGCCTTAAGCAGACCTTGATACTATTAGTACATCTGACCATTAGCTTATTCTGTCACTAAACATAGCTTTTCTATATTCAGATGGCATCTGTTACTCATGAATAATCTCCCTGAAAAAAACTGAAAAAAAACCCCTTCCTGAATCTCAACATTTAAGTTATCTAGGCTTCATATTACAGCTGTGGTTTTTATCACCAACAGTCTTTAGCTTCCTGACTCATTTAGGTGTTCAGTGTTATGTTAGGATGAATATCCAGTTCATGGTCCAGTTCCAAAAAATGTAAATAATTTTCCATTTCCAGAGATGTAGAAACATAATCCTTTATATAAAGATACCTGAATACTTATCCTCTTGCAAAGATTGACTTTTTGGGGTTGAAGCATTTCATCATAGAACTATAATTTATATAACGTAACCTCCTGGAACTATAATTTATATAGCGTAACCTTTTGGAGGCCGGTATGTTTAACAATAAAAAATTATTGAGAACTTGAGTATGTAGATTATATTTTCTTTACTTTTCTACATTTGGGAAAACCTTTTAGATTCAACTTTTTTTCCCTCTCTGAATCATCTTTACCAATATATCCCCAAACGTGATTATATTTAATTCACTACTTTTTCCTTTCTCTTTGGAGGGATACCTGGTGTTAACTTAACTTCTCCTCTGAGGTTAATGAATACATACTTAAGAATCCTATCCATTATGTTACTGAATCAGGCATGCCTATAGATTAACCCAATTTGGGGGGCTTTATTTGTTCAATTAGATTAGATGCAGAATAGGAAAATGGAAATTGAATTATTGTGCCTTTATCCAGCTGTACCACTCAGCCATCCTGCTTAAAGAAACATAGAATAGTGAACGGAAAAAGAGGTAATTTCCTTGATGGCAGTGCACTGGCAACAGGGGGACCCTCATCCATAGAGAAATAGGGAGTTGTATCACTTGTTACTGAATTGTCATCTGAGTTGGTTAACCTGGCTTCTACAGGGTTAGAGCTAATCTACAGGGATGCTCAAACCAAGTGCAAAACACACTCACACATCCCTCCTCCCAGCCTATTTGCTTCATTATCTTCACTGGAGATTCATTGAAACTGGAGAACCTTTTTGCCCTGATCATTTTCTAGTTGGTCATGTTTGTAGGTAAAGGCGTGGTATCTGGAGCGGTCTTCTTTTTAGCTATCTCTTGCTTCACTGTATTGCCGCAGTCGAGGCCTTTTTTCTGGTGGTAGCAGCAGTCTGCAAGTGTATTTGCCACTCTTTCTGCACTATTGCTACAGGCCTATCTGTTAAATCTTAAATACTAATGAATCATTAAAAAGGATATTAACATATTGTGCTGGCCCTATATGTGTGTCTTACTCTTCAGAGTTTTATAAAAATTTCCTCATAAAAATTTCCTCATTAAAAAACCTCATTACAGAGATTATTGCGACACGCTTTGAAACAGCAGCATTCATTACATATTTTCTATATATTGGAGTTTGGGAAATTAATGCACCAGGAAATGAAATGACTCACCCAGGGTCACCGAAGATGTATGTTCAAATCATGATTAAAATCCAAGCTGTAGATCTCCATTGTGTTTACTGCACAATCTTTTTTGCTCTTTCTCTTTCTTTCTATTTTTTTTTCTTTTAAACCACATCCTACAGTTGTACATTCAGCTGGAAAATTCCACCGTGCTGCTTTTGATGTCAAACTGTAATTGGCATTTAGCCAACAATTAGTCTACTGTGTCTTGTTTGTCTTTGTGAGCCTTCCCTTCCTTTGCTTTGGGGTTCGAAGGATGGAGAGAAAGTGGGATTACTGGGAAAGAAGAGCCAGGCTGTGGGGAACGGTGTGCAGAGGAGCAGAGAGGCAGAGTCCAGGGAACTGCTTAAGCAATGGAGTGACTGTGAAAGTCTCTTATCCACAGATGATCAGAGATATGTGGATTTTCCAGACTTTCGGTGCTGAGGAGGTAGGGAGAAACAGAGGTTAGAGGTAAGGGAGGTATAAGATCAGGCTGGAAGGAAAGGGCTATACGATGGACCTTCCCTTACACTACCTGCTCTGATATGTCCACTGCCCAGGAGGGTAGAGTGGAGATGGTGTGTATTTCTCTTTTTATAGGTTACTTCTTCTGTAAAAATGTGATACTTTAAGTGCGTGCCTGCTCCCAAATTATACCAGTAGAGTCAACTTTCACAGTGCCTACAGCTTTCTGATTTGTGACTTGCAGGTGTGTTGCCCATGTTCCAGAGGGGACTTGTACTGGTATCTGGAGGGGACTTGTACCACAGCCTTTAGAGGGAGATGCAGTAATGCTCTGGTTGCAGGCTGGTTTTTTTAGCAGGTGTGACCAGGGACCCTGTTCTTGGGACTAGCTGACTGAAAATCCCTGACATTTGTAGTAACTGTGTCTGTTGTACAGTAAATAAATGTCTTCAGATGACATATTATATCATCGATACTTAGTCATCATGTGGGGTTGGACGTTAATTTCTTGACTTCTGTTTTTCTTTCAATGCCAGATGGAGAGAAACAAGCATGAAATTCAGAGCAATAAAATTGTAATTTATATTTATAAACAGATAGTGAAGAATAATTTTCATTTAAGGGAATTCGTCTTCATTTCGGAGACTTCCTGAGTACCTTATCTTAGCTTTAATTAAAGAAAATAGATGTGTAAAAAGTTTCATTTGTAATAATAGTAAAAAAATGAACATATGTTTATCTTTTTCACTCCACTTTAGATTTTGTGGAACACCACTCATGGGTAAACTACTATATACACATGGAGTATGACATAAAGAATAATATTCCAAGCTGAGACATATTTTGTCTTTTTGCCTCATTTGCAACTGAGGTTCAAGATTTAAATGTGGGAACCATATAGATCCTGTGTAGCTGGTTTAAAGGCCGCTATGCTGCACAGCATCCAGGAACTTCTTTTCCAATACAAAATTTGCCGTTTAGTTTCTGAAGCTTCCCATTTCCTGCTTTTCTTATCAGCAATACTTCTGTTTCCTGAGACAATCTTAATGTAAGTTAATCTTTTGATCTGTTTGAAAAGATAACTTTGTAATGCAAATAAAACAATACTCAGTCTTCAACTCAGTTCTCTTCTATTTAGATTTTTACACTTGGCATCAGATGGACTAGGTGTACTTTGTGAATCTAGACAAGGTAGAGTAGAAATACGTGCAACCACAACAATGGAGGATTACAGATCTAACTAGGAAGGGGCAAAATGGAGTCATTGCAAACATTGAAAATGTTGTATTATCCTAAAACATGCCTAGTTTAATACAGATATATATATACAGATTTTGGTTTACACACAAGTTGTTGCACTGTTGCACTTAAACAGATCTAATGCTAAGTTCTGCTTAAGTTTGTGCAGGTCATTACTCACCTGAAATATTAATTTCTGTTGTCAGCTTTAGTTCAAATTACATTTGTTTATTCATTTGAGGATTTTAACCAGTCAGTTCAAGCTTAGTTTTGACTTCAAGTCAATCATGTTGGTTCAATTTTAAGCAGCTCCATAAAATTATGGCCTGCCGAGGTGCAAAAATGCTTGCAGTTGTCCTGAGAAAAATCCATGAAAAATGTAAAGTATGGCTTGTTTTGACAAATTTCAACATGAGCCATGGAACACTCAGCATTCTTACACCTTTGAACAAGAATTTTTGAGCTGCATAATTCTGATCCCAAAATACTAACTCATGATATGTTATCACAATTAAATTCTTAGACCTTAAGACATTCCTTTTTATAACCAGTCACATAATTATGATCTCTAATATATAGGAACTGTCTTATCTTCTCTTTAGATTTTATACTCCTTGAATAATAGATAAATGTTGAACTGCAGTGTCAGAGAAATGGAGAAATTCTGTTGATTTTGGATACATGGCACGGAAGAATTCTGTTTGTTTCTGCTGCTGAAACTTAAAGATCTCTGCTTCATCAGTTATCATAGTATTCATGCATATTGCTAGAGGTTCATTAGTAATGCAAAGTTTACTCTGAGATGGATTTTATTAGGAATTTAGTCTCTCTGGTGCAACTGCACCGAGACATCAAACTTGGTATTTCTTAGAATGTGAAAGTAAAAAGCACATGATGTTTTTCATATTCCAAAGGTAAAAACATCCTGTGAGAAGGGCACATGGTACACAGACATTGAATAAAACCCTGTCACACTGCAGTCACTGATTTCAATGTTCTTTGAGATGGACCATGCAGCTCTCCTTTTTGTTGTTCTCCATCTTTGTGGAAGTAAGATTTCTTTCTTATTCCCAGCTAACTTCTTTCCTTTTTTTTATTGCATCATGACAGGTATGGTCACAATTCACAAGTGTGTTGTTCAGAAGAATTTTAATTGTTGAATGATATTCATAAGTTAGAAGTAATAATAATGTCTAGGGTTTGTTTTTTTTTTTTTTAGTGAACTTTTTCTTTATTGTTTTGCCTGTAGTGCTTCCGAAGTTGTTTCTGAGTTTTTCTATAATTTCAATTTTCAATTATGTTAATTCTGAAACTGAACCTCTGTGTGTGCTTTAGCCAACGTGGAAGGAAAGTTTGTGGATTCAACCGTAAAACTTACTGAGAAGGTGAAACTGGAATGCATATACCCAAACAAAGCCATGATAATCCAGACATCGTGGATGAAACTTAATGTAACTCATAAAGAAAATATAGCTGTCTTGCATCCAATCTATGGCATACATATCGAAGACAAATACAATGGAAGAATTTATTTTGAAAATGCTTCCAGGGAAGACAAGTCCTTGTCCTTCATCAAGAGCACTTTGGAGGATGTTGGTCTTTACTGTTGCTCCATTGTAACTTACCCAGATGGAATTTGGGAAAAGACAATACAAATTATTCAGCCAGGTAAGTAAATCTCTCATTGTTTCTTAAATTTCTGATATATGCAAAACAGAAATCCATGCCAATTTGGGGAGTGTCTGGCATTGTAATTTTTCTTTTCATTTATATAGCATGCAGAAATGGAGTAATTTGGGGAAAAGAACTAGCATGACAGAAAATAATTGTATTACTTTGACAAAAGATCATTTTAAGAGAAGCAGAAATATAAAAGGGGAACTGGAGGAGACAGACACACGGCACAACAGCAGGGTATTACATGGCAGACTTCGGGTACTAATGGTCATTGCAACAGTGATATTTCCATTGGGCCAAAGTTCCCATAGCATTTCAACAAGCTATAGGATCTCTTCAGAGGATGAAATTGCAGCTACCCATGAAATTACATGGATGAACCTTGTAACTACCCATGAAAGATACCATATTTTTATCATTATGTTATATGGTGAGGGCATTCCTGGTCTGAAACTAGGAGTGCTTTTTTCTAGAAGCTCTTCTGTGCTTGCTTTTTCAGGAACAAAATAACCATTTAGGAATGGTGTGGCAACAAAAGAGAGGGAAGTAGGGAAGTTTAAATGAAGAAAAAAGACCTTTTTTTTAAAAGGAGATTTTTTTAAAGATGGAAAAGGAATTAAAGAAAGAAAAAGATCCAGTTGTGCCCATGTACTTTCTGTATAGCTGCCCATGTACTTTCCAAAGGCTCTGTAATTATCTGACCACTCATCCAATTTGGTTTCCTTTCCAGCTGTATGAGTAAGAGGAGAAAACCCTTTTCTAGTATTTTTCCATGTATGTCTATTCAGCATTGGTCAGCTGACAACTCTGGTGCAAATTACCAAGCTTCTCTGGCAGAAGTCCTTAGAAGATCATTATGTACATATCTTCAAAAGATAACTAGTTTTGGTTATTTGATATTGTGAATGTAGAAAGAATCTGTTCCTCTTTCCCATCCTCCAGAGTGAAAATAGACTTCATTCAATGTTTTATTGTATTTCTCAGCTAGGAAAGAATGGGTTGAAAGAAAAATTTAGTTCCTAGCATTTCAAAGACCAGAAGATAAAAATAACAGTTCTTTTCCTAACCTGATCCTTCTGAGTCTTCATTTCAACCTTATTTTATCTACACTTCTGTAATTTCAATGTTACAATGAAACAGTGGACCTGACTCTTGTAGGAGATATCTAAACTTCAAAAACTCAAGGTATATTGTTCCTGCCTTTACCACTGAAGGTTTTTGAAACTTGATTTTAGCCAGCACGTTTGTTGGTGGCACTGATGAAATAGGAATCCCAGTCTGTCTTCCTATTTCTGCTAGCTTTTTATTAGTAAACATTGCTGCTCATTAATGCAGAAATTAAGCCACACACAAGTTATTGCCCTGACTTTGAAAAAAGTAATTCTGTCTCCCCTGGATTGTTTAGTTAGACAAGATAGTTTGGACCTGAAAGTATTTTCCCCGTTGTGGAACATTGGCATAGCCATGCAATTCACGGTCATTCACATACAGAGGGAATGTCCTACTAGTGAAAGAGCTGAGTGGGGTCCCTCAGGGCAGGCTTGCAGGTCAGAGTTCCTCAACTGTGATTCCTTTAGTGGCATCTCTGAATGCTTGCTTCGCTCTGGTGTCTTTTTTTATTATGTAAGGAATAACGACACTAAAGTAGTAACTCCCTAGTTTCTTTTTCTCTGGCAGTCCATTTAGTGCACAATATTAGTGCAACTGTAGGCATTAGAAACATACTTTTTGGCTGCATTCAAACAAGCCAAGATTTGGAAATCTAGGTTGCTGTTTACAAAAAGGAAGAGGTAAAAGAGATCTCTTATATGGTTTGGTCCAACCTGAGTTCTGGCAGTGCTGAGCCCTTATTCACAATGGGTTCATTTTCTATAAAATCCTAAAAGTTAGATGAAGTAGAGATCTGCAAGTTCATTTAGTCCTTTTCCTGGCCAAGGCAGTATTGATCTCAGCTATTTGTTCTTTAATGTATTGGCTAGGGTTAATCTGAAATGATGCAAGAAACAAGGCAGTCAGTTTCCTGTGGGATGTCACCCTTCAGTCCAATACCTTTATTAGGCAATCCATTTACAGATTTCAGGACGCTGTAAACCACACAAAAAGTGGATCGGTTATCAGAGGTATGTTTTTTTTAAACGATACTGTGGGATTCAGTATTCTCAGTATGTAGGATTTCTCTCTTGATTTGAGCACGTTAAAACACAAACCTAAATCAACAGCAAGCCCCCCATTTTTCAAGTATATCAATTTAATCCTACTACAGAGGGAGATAATGATGTTGAATAGAAATTAATCCTTTTCCATTTAAAGAATCAAGGTTTCTGAGGACAGGAACAATCAATCCTGTTCAGCTCTTGATAAATGTGTATAAACATGATCTTTATACACACTGATCAGAAGAGAATAACGTGTATCACCAGTGAAGATAAAATATTACTACTTCAATCTGCACTGCAAATTAAATATGTTATTAAAACCTGAGTTTAGAGAAGGTATTTATTTATGTAGTAGTTATAGTAGAACTGTTATCAGTCAGGCTTTATCTTACTTTACTAGAACCTTCATCAGTACTAAATATTTCAAACTCCCTGGATGACATCTTGCTTTGATTAAATCAACAGTAAACTTCAAATTCACTTCCATGCAGCCTGTATTTTAGCTTGCTGCTGACACTGGATGTATAATTTTTCTTCTTTGTCTTCAACGTGTAAAATTAGGACACTGATGTTCATCTTTAAAGTTTTATTATTCTGCACCAGGGAAAAAGCTTTGAGAAAGCTGAATGTTAGTCTCATAAGTCTGGACACGGATCTTGTTCTACAGGATTAATATACACGAAGAGTTGATGTCCTGGAAAATGAAGTGTTTTTTAAGGAATCTGATATACTTTCATATAAAGAAATCTGGCCAACATACCAGAAAGATCATTTTATAGGTAATTAAAACTTTGTTTCAGTTAGGTTGTTTTCTTTGGTTGGGATTTATGATTTATTGATTCCCAATAGACATTACTTTTCTAAAAACATTAATTTACCTACACTATCCCACACAAGTAAACAACTCACTGCAAAATCCATTTCTTCCGTTTACAACAGTTAATCAACAAACATTTAATAGACTAATTTTTTTTTTAAGGAATTGCATGGTATTTAATGCTTTGCAATTTGTGGTTTTAATTTTAAAGGTTAGTTGGCTAAGCTAAAGTTGTGTCTGCCTTTAAATGGATGCAACTTTGTGGACACATAATATTCAACATGAAACTTAAATTTGCTCTGGTAAATTGACACAGATGAAGTTAAGTTGATATTATCAAGGTTTTTGTGTCAATCAAAACCGAAGCCTGGTTTATAATTTAATTTGCGCTATCAGGGCATTGACAATTGTCAGGTTTTATATGTACTGACCAGTTACTATGGGACCCAGAGACATTCCTGCACCAACTTAAGTAGGTAAGTATGCCATTGAGGAATCTGCAGCACATACCTCAATGAAAGCTGGCAACAGAATATAGATATAGAATATGTGATTGGCTTTCAGAATTTCCATTCAATGGAAATAGCATAAATAAATGGAAATAATGCCATATGACATTATACTCATGATGGAGATTATTAACTACATAAAAGTATAAGGTGAAATGTTCTTCACATGGCAATCATATCTGCTGGCAGCTACATAAATTTGGATAAAGTATCTTGGATTAACTTTTGCTGGCTTGCAAAACAATGAATGTTTCTGCACTCAAACTGTTCAAAGTTGCTCTAATGCTTCATTCCTGGTAATCAACAGAGGTCATGAATCTGATTCTTCTTTCCCATGTGCTTTGTATAATTTTTTAAAACTACAAATGCAAAGTGAGTAAAATTTGTATGATTCTGATTTGTCAACATTTTTCATTTGCATAGTTTGAAGCCTCAAGTGCTGATGCTTAAAGAATAAGTATTTCAAGTAGTGTCTAACGATTACAGTAGTGTCGCTAGAGCCAGCAACTCAAGTTTTAACAACACCCTGACACTACAAGATCAAGCAGTTAAAAAAGTTTGGGGATCATGACTTGCTTTTTTAAACAAAAACACAGCAAGAGAAGAAAGAAGCCAAGTATTTGAAAAGCATTAAGCATGTTTCTTTTTATTAGTATTTTGATAACATCCCTATTTCTTTCCCCTTAGAGTAAAGCTGTCTTTATAAAAAAAAAGTCCACTGTGGTAACCTGTTTCATATGTAATTAAAGATGCTATTGAGTGACTATAGATTTGCAGCGTACGAGGTGGCAAAATAATACTGGAGAAACTCTACTTAGGACTCTGCTCCTGGCTTAGTCTCTGGTTGCAGAACAACAGTTCACCCCATCATGATCTGGGTGGGGTGAACGTGATTCTTTTTCAGTCAGGGACAAAAGTAAAAACAAAAAACAAAACCAAAAGAGATTAATCTTGGATAAGCAGTGGCTGAGCTGTCATAAGGACCTGAGATCCCAGGAGACAGAGGAGGTTATTGCTTTCATTACAGATGTCTTTTCTTGGTGTACTATCCTCATTGCATCACTGGCAGATGGAAGACCCTAGAATTGGTGATAAATCACCACTTATATCAAATTTTTGGTGTAATTATTGTAGTTATTGTTTTTTATTTTTTACTAGATGTGGTCTCAGCTTAGTCCTGGGGCTGTGTCAGGATATATAATAAAAATGTTATGACATATTTTGTTCTTTTTGCCTTAAATTTTGGCTAAAGATTTCCTATGACATCTATGAAATAGGTGAGAAAGAACTCTTGCAGACTGCACAGTGTTATCCATGCTTTCTTTATTGGCAGTTACTGAAACATACTGACAGAAAAGCAATAATACTCAGGATATTATATTGGAAACTTCACATGTTATGTAGCTACAGGACATTCTTACAAGTGGATGCAGTGCTGAAATTCTATACCATAATTGCGAAGAACTTGAGAGTATGTTCTGCTACGGTTACACATGAATATATTGGCAA